GGTCATTAACACATTCAAAAGAAGATACAGGAGAAAATTTATTCAAAACCTAGTTATGGAAGAGTAATATTCTTTGCCAGAATGCTGGAAAGCAAACAATTTAAAACACGCAGTCGACAATGTTGTGGATGCTTGGGTTGATGTTTCGGGGAAATAACGCTGAAAGAGCCTAGAATAAATTATGGGTTGAATCAACTTGAAGATGAAAATGCTCCCCTTAAATGAAGTTACGGCTGAATCAACTGCTTTGTTTCTGTTGTCTAAAGATGACATAAACGAATGGTTAATTTGTGATGAGGACGCAAAGGGCTATCGATTGCTGACAGATGATGAAATCGTTGAAATGGTAACAGAGACGGAGGAAACTGATTCAGAAGCCGACTTTGATGGTGGCGATGTTGATGATACTATTACAACTCACAAAGATTTGCGTAACGAATCTAGAGGAGCTGCATCGCACGTATAACAATTCATCAAGTGGTATTCTCGACCAGAAGAAGCAAATAAGGTAGATTTAACGTTTCTACGTCGATTAAGAAATTCAGTCGTTGCAAAATGTGAAGTAACAATAAAACAAACAAAGATTTCAGAATAATTTAAATCTTATTGATTCGACTGTACTAACATAAATCCCTCTTATATTATCAAAACATACAAATAAAATTTGAGAGTTATACTATGATTTTTTTTAAGTTCTGTTAATCGTCTTTTCGGTTATCCGTCATACCCTTGGTCCGGTGCCTTGACGGATAATCGAGGTTCCACTGTATTACTTTTTCCAGAGCCAGATTGAACAGTATACATGAGAGAGGGTCTCCTGGCGCAGTGCGGTAATTGTTTTAAAAGGTTCAGACAGTTCGTCCTGAATTCGTTCTACATTCAACTTTTTCAAGAGATAGTTTTGTTAAATTTACCACTTGATTTGGTATTCCTAGCTCTTTCATTGCTTTAAACATTTCTATTCACAGTCGCAGGCTACTATGTAGTCTACATATAAATATGTGATATATATATATATATATATATATATATATATATATATATATATATATACGCGGATATCTTGGGTTTAGTACTCAATATTGGCCTTTAAGTAAAACTCTTTTAGGTTTGTTAAGCTTTCGAGTTTATTGTAATCTTTTTCAAAACGTACTAAAAGTTAATATAAAAAATTACATAGAAAAATGAAGTTATTATATCTTCAATAGGCTTACCCTTGTGAGGATTGTGTTTTAAAATTAGCAAAATTAATTAACATAATGACATTAAATTTGATTTACTTTTTCGTTCTGTCAAAACTTATTACTAAGGTTTCCATGTCTCTTCTATTTTTTATATTTATTTTAGGTGAGTTTGACAGAGGAAGTGTCTATGTTTATGCAAACCTTCATTGCAAATTTTGATATAATATTACAGTTATTAAACAAGCAACAGAGTTTATGTTACTAAGTAATTAAGAAAGAAAAAACACAAATAAAAATAAATTTTATCTCATTTGAACTTGGAATAATCCCTTTAATATGCGTAACTTTTAAGAACTTTTATATTGTTATTCTTTTATTTAAAAGAAGATTACTGTATATAGCACTAAGATTTTCAATGTCTTCTCTTTTGTTTAAGGTGTTTTGTGTAGTTTTAATTAAACACATTTCTAGAAACAGTCTTTTGTTGTAATTTCTTTCCCTTCTCAATATTTCTGTTTGATCATAGTTAGGCGTATGGCCCATTGTAATACAATGTTCACTTAATGCACAGGCTTGTACTTTATTCAGATTAATATCACTCTTGTGAGATGTTAATCTTCCGGACAAATTTCTGGACGTTTCTCCAATATATACTCTATTACAATTATTACAGGGTAGAGAGTACACTACATTGAAGCTTTCTCTATTATTTAAGGGTGTTTTAAGTTTAGTATATAATTTCGATATTGTTTTTATATTTCTGGTTCCAATTTTGATATTAGGTACTTCTCTAAATGTATTTAGTAGTCTATTTGTTGCGTATGGCCCATTGTTGCGTATGCAACTTCATTTTTCTAATGTAATTTTTTATATTAATTTTTAGGACGTTTTGAAAAAGAGTACAACAAACTCGAAAGCTTAACAAACGAAACGAAAATGAAAATAGGCATAGATGCCATATTCCAGTGTTTTTTTCTAAAATTTGTTTCAGATATTTAGAAATCCTAAATATCCTGAACATATTAAAAGTTGCTAAAGGATATAATTTTCCAAACTATAACTATAAAAACAAATTTTCTCAACTTCCAAGTAATTCTAAATGTAGGTAAATATTATACAAAGTATCCTCGTCTAGTATTTATCTACATTTTACCGTTTAAAGACCCTAAATGTTTACAACTAACCTCTAAGTATCCATTAAACTGTTTGTACGAATGCGTTTTTTGTTCGAAAACACGCTAAGATGTTTTCGGGGTCATCATGCAAATATGTTTGTTCAATAAATCCCAGCTCGTTGTTGACTGATCTCCATAGCAACACCCACAATATTGTCTAAACGTGTACTAAATTATGTTATTATCTATCCGATATCCACATTACTTAGAATAACAGGTAGTTATGTAAGTTCTCGAAGATTTACTTGTTATAGGTATTGTGGGTAATTAATTAGTCTAAGAAAAATCAGGACATCTGTGGATACAATTTTTATTTCTACATAAATTCTTAAGTCGCTCAAACCATTGACGTAGACATGACAGTTTTCTTCTCCATATACTTGTTTTTACCACAATATTTCAACAGATAATATTTTGTAGAAGAATCACTTCTCATTCAATTCTTATGCTGATTTCTTTCGCGTGGTCACTCTTTTCCAGTACAGATGTTCCCAAATAGTTATATTTATGAACTCTTTTAATCTCTCCCTTGTTAATTGGAAGTCTAACATTACTAACGTTTTCCTTAAATACGGTGATTACATTTTGTGTACAACTGCTCAGGGTTGGATGGAGGACAAACAGAATTCTAAAAGCACTGATCATCATTGTCATCATCATCATCATCATCCAGCCTTCATTTAGGCATACTTTAAACTCTTCCATTCTTTGCGATTTTGGGCTCTTTGTTGCCAATTTTTCGTGATATGCCTGATGTTGTCAGCCCAACGTGTAAATGGTCTTCCTCTACTACGTTTGTCTGCTCTTGGTCTCCAATTTGTAATTTTGCTCGTCCATCGTGAGTCTTGCATTCTCGCTACAGGCCATGTAGCGAGAAAAGCAATGATACTGTTTTTTATTTAAACATTAGTAAGCTTTATATTTCATTTTACGTGGCATTATTTGGCCACGTTGTTTCAAATTAAGTAAAAGAGAGTTTTTACCAGCGAAACCACCAAGCTAACACTTCAAAGGTCTACCAAAGAAAGGGAAGCCAACAAGTTGTTACAGTTCGTCCCAAACCCTTCTTTCAGTGCGTCATAGTTGTTCGAATTCTCTCTAACGCATTAAGCTAGAAGTGACAGAAAAAAACGTGAGTCCCTGATTATTATACATAGAACTTAGAAAATTAGGTATCGGTCACGGGTATTCGCATATTAAAGCGAATTCTACTTACGAACGGATAATTGGTTGGAGTTTAGAATACGCTAAATAGATATCCAATTAATTATGCATATAAATATAATTTGACACAGATGATCTTGATAATGACAGTGACAGTACTTTCACAATGTCAACTGATAAAATGATAATTGCCGTTCAAGGTTAGTATTTTCAGACATTTTACCTACAGTGAAAATTAAATTTTGTATTTATTGTCATAAATATATTTTAAATATTCCGAGATATACCGAGAATGAACAAAGACTAATATTAAAATTATTAAATTAGTTTCAATTAGAAAAAGAGGCTGAGTTATCTTTATTATCAGTTTCTGTCGTTCGCGAATCAGATTGTGAATTCCGGAATGATATTGAGAAAATATCTTAAACTAATACCGTTATGGATATTTATATATATTAAAACGATTCTTTTTAGAACCACGACATTTTCTTGAAATGTAAGATATAATTGATACCAGCCACATATCTAGTGTAATCATTGATTTTAAAGAATCAGATTCTGAATGGATTATGGATTGTTTGAAATATAATATTCATTTTTGTTATTCATAAAAAAGAAGTAAACTTACATTCGGTATCTTGTTTTTTAACTAAACTCCATTAACACGATTTCATCTGGATACCAGAACTGGCAGATTAACTCAAAAATCAACTGCTTCATTATTTAAACTATTTATATTGTTTTTTTAACTAAACTTTATAACCTTCTTTCATTTGCACACCAAATCTGGTAGAATAACTCAAAAATCAACTGCTTCACTATTTAAACTATTTCCACTATTTAATGACAAATCTTCACAAAATTAAACTATTGGCTGCCACAGAAACTTGTCAGAAAATTACTTATCCAAATATGACTGATTTAATTCGATGTTATTTTATCACAGGAATGTTTACTTTGATGCCTTGCAATTGCAATTGTCATTGCAATATGCCTGTGTGTTTGTAATAAATAATAATAAATCCATAAATAAATCTTAGCTAATTAAGCACTTTCCTTGGAATGTATAAAATAGAACAGAATTATGACAAACTGCTATGCATTTAAAAAAAAATAACCTTTTCACATTTTGCAACTATCAGATTTAACTAAAATGTCATGCAATAATTCTCGACATTCTTTAAATCCTATATGACGTCAAAATTAGTGACGCACTGAAATAAGGGTTTGGGACAGACTTTACTTACAAATGTGTCGGGAAATATTTAAACGAAGTTCCAAACGGTACGACTAGCCTACTTTAAAACCCTCCATTAAACATTGTCTCCCGTTGGCAAAAATTACAACAAAAAACGATCAATCTTATCCAAAAATTATAGACGTGCCTATTGTTTAAGCATTTAAGTATATTTTATAAGTGCTCTTTGCCGGTCAACATACTTTAAACGCTTTTATTAATGCTGTGTTGATAACTATCCAGTTTTCATAATATTTTTTTTTCAGCTCGGGGTACAGATTTCGTCGGTGGAATAGATAACGAAGCCTTGGATTTTTCTCAGTTGGAGGACTTCATTAACAGCGAAGGTTCACAAGGCAATAATACGTATTTCGGAGACTCGCTCAACTCAACACCAACGTCTGGTAAACTTCTAAATGTCATCGTTGAAAATAAAAGAAACAATATCGGGTGAGTGTTTTTAATAACATGGCACATTATGTAGTTAGTGTATATTATAAATAGATTATGACAAATACTTATGAGAAAAAGTAGCCAGTGTACGCTTATAGCGCCTCTACATTAAGAAACATGAAGTCAAACAGTTTTCCCGATGACGATTTATGCTGCTGATATATTCTAGGAATGTATCATAATAAAGTTATTCCCAACATCATCTTAATAAAATCTTAATAAAAAAAATTGTGAAAACCTTGAATTTTCCATGTCTACTTGTCCTTGATCACAACTCCTCCGTTTTTGGAACAGATAAAATGACAAATGAAGTGTAAAACGAGAGCTTATAACTCAAAGATGATATCAAAGGAGAAGAATTTGTCATCTGACTTCTGGTTCGGAAGTTGCAACTGGAAGTACTGTTAAAAGTCGCCAAAATGGTACAAGCGATATATTATTCAACGCGCTTTAGCAAGACGGGAACAGGTATATAATTCCGATTTTTATTCTTCTTCTTATAGTGGTGTGCACCTATAATGCGTTGGCTAATTATCTTAAGGCTAGACGTCTGTCTTTTGCGGCATGCAAAAGATCGCTAATGTTGCAACGAAAGTATTTTGCCTACCACAGGGGGCATTAATATAAGGGCTAGAAAATTGGGGGAAGAAATTAAGGGGGTGGAGATAAGGCAAGCAAAATAAACGCTACTTATGCGAACGGCACTCAGGGTTTAGTAGGAGAGCTGGGGTCATGGATAAGTAAAAGATAAAGGCATTGGAATGGGGCAACTACAAAAAAATGAAATAAAGGGCTCTTGGGATAAACAAAATAAAAATAAACAAGAAACACCTCAAGGAATTTAATATAGGGCGCCACTTGAGGTGCCTAATTATGCCTATTACAACCACTAGTTGTAACTAGGGAAATAATTAGAAAACAAAATCAAAACATAAAAAACATATCTTTTTCAAATAAACTCAAAAAGGGTTAGCTCAAAAAAAAAATAAATAAAATGTTAAGACAACAAAATTTAACATTTATTTATGTGTCACCACAAACAGTTACAAAATGGAGAAATACAAAATACAAAACTTACGTGTCATCCGCTTACAAACTCCAGGAGTTGGAGATACTAGATAAAACTACAAATTTATATGGAGGTTAACCTTGTTTAAAAATAAAACAAACTAATAACCAAAAAAATAATAAAAAACGAGCTGTCCTAAGTTAACATTAAATTTCAAAAAAAAAAAAAAACTAAACACACAAATTGACAGCTCAACTCAAAATCTAAAATTTATAATTTTAAATGTCAACGAAAGCAATTATTTAATTCAAAACAAATTGTCTGTCTTTACTTTAAAATTTGATCAAAAAGTTACCTGGATTTTCACTAACAAAATACACTAGAATCTGTGGAACCAGACGCCACTGGAATATCCGACACCATAACTGGAACTGAGGGCTTTACTCTCTGTGTAATGAACACAACTATCTATCTCCATATCTTCATATCTCGAACAAATCTATCTCCATACTGCCAAAAGCCTTGGATGATAACCAGGGAGAAACAAAACGAGGATGGAATCGACGATTCTTCCATTCCTCACTCAAACATTTACTGAACCATTAACTTCACACTGCTACACATTTTCTTCATAAAAAAAGACGAACAAACGTCTTCATAAAAAAACACAAACAACGAGGAACATTTCGAATTTGAAGTCAAATTCGGACATAACGTTGACCGCTTTTCACCGCGGCTCCAACGATAGTAACCAAATTATCTATTAAAATTGATCGCATAACTTGAAAATAAACAAACACTTGACATAGCAAAACCAACGAAACGGCGTACATATCCTTTTGCGACGCATAAACTTGAAAAGAAATTGCCGAAGTAAAATAAACAACTCTCAAATGGTTTTATTACTCGGCGACGAAACACTTTTGCGTACTTTGAAAGATATGAACTAACAACACGGAAAAATTCTTCGTTTCATTTTTTAAAAATATATAAGGAGTTTTTAATATATTTTATTATACGAGGAGGTTTCAATATACTCAAAAGAATCAATGAAATTGAAAATGCTACAATGTTATTTATGCCTGTCCACTTCTTTATGTTCCGTAGCCACGACATTTGTTTGCGACTTACTACTCTTTTGCCTTTAATGTTTCCCTAGATGATTAGTAGAGGGATTGTGTATTTTTTTCCTTTCAGAATATGGCCGAGGTATGCAATTTTTCGTAACTTGATCAAATTGAGTAGTTCTCTCTCTCAGTATTTGCCTTTCTTAAGACTTCCTCGTTTCTCACCCTATCTGTCCATGGTATGCGGAATATTCTTCGCAACGTCCATATTTTGAAGGCCTTCAACTTATTAATGGAAGGTACTCTTAACGTCCATGTTTCCATGCCGCATAACAATATGGACCATACATAGCATTTAACCATCCTGTAGTGGAGATTAAAGGAAAGATTGCGGTTACATAGTAGCGGTTTAAATTTAATAAAATCTTGTCTTGCTTGTTCGGTACGGCATTTTATTTCTTGTTGAGGATCCCATTGGTCATTTATCATCATACCCAAGTATTTGCTTGCTATCTACTTGCAGTTGTATTCTTAAAAGTGCGTTTTTTCTTATCGCCATGCATTTAGTTTTTGCAGCATTTATCTTCAAGCCATATATTTCCTACGGTGTTTATTTTATTTAAAATCAACTGCATATCATGTTCGTTGTCAGTTATTATCGCGGTGTCGTCGGCGTAACGAATGTTATTTATCGAGAACCCGTTTACCTTTATTCCACACTCAGAGCCTTCCAGTGCCTCTGCAAAAATATTCTCCACATAGAGATTGAAGAGCATAGGAGACAAAATACACCCCTGTCGCACCCCTCTTAAAATTTAAAATTCTTCTGTGTTGGTTGATTTGTTCAGTCTAACTCATGCTTTTTGATTCCAATAGAGATTCTGGATATATGTTATATCTTTCTCGTCAATGTTAGCGTTGTGTAGCATTTTTATCATTGCGTCATGTTTTACGGTGTCAAACGCTTTTTCATAATCGAGGAATGTTATGACTAAATCTTTTCGTTGAACCATGCAATTTTGTACAAGCATATTCTAGCACACAGCTGCTTCACGTTACCCAGTCCGCTCTTGAAGCTCCATGACCAATATTTTAAACCTTACTTGAATTTCACATTTAACTGCTACAACACACCAAAATTTTTTTATTTCACTATTTCCATAACATAAGACGAAAAACGAAAAGAAACATTACAAATTTGACGAATTATAACATCTATACAAGTGACGAAACATGGATCTATGATTAGCTCGAAACAAAACAGTAATTGACTGTATGGTTGTTCCAAGATGAACCAAATACAACAAAAGTTGTTAGTGGAAGAAGCACATCGAAACAAATGGTCGCTTGTTTCTTTTCTATAAATGATCGTGTAGCTACAGTGCCGTTACAAAAACATAAGAACAGACAAATCATTCTTGACCACGACAATGCAAGCTCACACACATCAGCACACCCTACGGAGTTTTTGACGTTCCAAAACATCGAAATAATGGATCATCTGCCGTACAATCCTGATTTGGCACCCAATGACTTCTTTTTATTCCCGCACATCAAAAATAAATTGCGTAGTCAACGATTTTCGACGCCCCAAGAAGCAGTTGAAGCGTTCGAAAGCCATATTTTGCAGTTACCTTAATTTGAATGCAAAAAGTTCTTCAAAAATTAGTTCAAACTCATGCAAAAGAATATTTAGTGTGTAGGAGAATATTTTGAAAAGCAATTTAGCCATTACCGACCAGTAATACTTGTTTTTTCATTGTTAGGTCAGAAATATAAATCGCAATCTTTTGAATACTGTCCAATTTAATTAAAAATTTCAACATTCTATTATTATATATGTTGATGATAAAAGAAGATTATCTTCTATTGTTATATTATATTTACTTATGTTCCCTACTTCTTATTCTTTTAAGTTTTCTCATATTATGATACGATTAATACCTAGAGATTAGATTCATTAAAGATATATTTCTTGGTAGATGTTTTGATTAAATTTTGTTTTCCAGTCACTCGCTTCCTGAGAGTCCTCCCGACAGCAGCTCAGAACACCCGTATAGTCCTCAAGATGGCTGTGAGGCACCGATCACATCACAAGAATCGATGTACACGAACCTGACACAAGGCCTCTACAAACCTACAATACTCAGTCCCATTCTGACAGACAATATTATTTTGGGATCACACATAGTTGTTACGGACCAAAGTAGTGAGCAGCTATTAGAAAATGGCGGAATACTGCAGGACAACGGACTCATCGTCAGTGGAGATATTAGAAATGGAACGACGATTCTTAGTAACAGAACAATACAGGAAAATTTACAGAGTGATCAAACTATTCTACAGGGTAGGATTATTCTTTCGGAATCCACTGTTACAGGTAATATTACATTAGATCATATTTGATCACTTAGATTTAGTCAAATACTTGCAAGTTCTGATACTTTTTAAAATTTTATCAACAGTACCGTACAGTCGCGTTGTAATTCTGTATTTTGAGAAATAAGCAATTGAAATTTGTTTACTTTATCCATCTTCCCAACAGAACATCTTCTGCAATTTGAAGATGCATTCAGAACGCATTATCCCCTTCTGCAATTTTAACAAACCTACTGTATTTTTTTACACTAATTCTATTATCAGGTGCACGTGACGTTATATTGATTATGGTCGGGTATATAATTACTAATCAGTCTTGATACATTCATAAAAATATGTACGATGATTGATATTTAAATTTTGACCTATGGAATCACCGATGTACAAATGTTAAATATTTCTCGGGCAGTTTGGTATTTGATATACGTTAGTTCAAATAAAATTACCTGTTAGATGTAATTATTAGTGTCTTGAATTATCACTGAAATTATTATATAAAGAATATATAAAAAGTAAACCAGGATATCTATGGCTGCTTTCTAGATTATAACAAGGCATTCGATACAGTGAAATATAATCCGTTAATAAAACTACTAGAGAAACTACTAGAGAAACGAAGATATTCGGAGAGAAATGGAAATCGATGTAGATATAATAGACACAATCGAAGCCAAAAGACTTAACTGGTATGGACAACCTTCAGAGAATGCCGGAAAATAGATGCCCAAAAAAAATAGAACAATGGACTCCGCCAACTAGAAGAAAACGAGGTAGACCAAGACGATCCTGGAGAGACGATGTCGACGATGCAATGACCGCCAGAGATCTAACAACTGAAGATTGCTTCGACAGAAAACGCTGGAAATTAGGATGCGAGAAGCGGCGCCAGCTGTAGAAGACTCGCTTGTTATATATATATATATATATATATATATATATATTATATATATATATATATATATATATATATATAATATATATATATATATTGTTGTACTTTTGAATGTCTGTTAGAAATAAAAAACCGAAAACCGATATACAAATTTTATTACTTAAATAAAAATTAAAATTATTGATATTTCATAATGACACGGGCATATAAATTTTCAAACATCCTGTATAAGACAAAATATGTATTTTAAGTTGTTCAAAGAATTGTTCATTAGGCCTCAGAGACAAGACTTTCAAATATTATCAATAAGAAATTTAAATAAGTCGGTTATTGTGAAATGGATTTACCCGTAATAAAAGTGTATATAGAAAGTGTTTAAACAATAGACCGGGATGTGCGGTGGTTTTTCCCCCGAAAGATTATATCGGTAAAAGTTTATTAACAAAAGACATTGAATTGAGAAACAGGTATCGTTTGTAGCTATTAGTAAGAAATATTTGTAAAGCAGATAGATTTAGTTAGAATAATTAAAGAATGTTGTTTTCTGGAATTACCCGAATGACGTTTTAATAGAGAGAGTTGGTTGATAACGATATACGTCACAGAGGTAGAAGATTTTTATTGGTCAATTTTTGAATGCAAGGAGGGAGTGGTTTTGGCTATGAGATAGGAGAGAGGAAAGGAGTTAGTCAGTTTTCGTCGCCCAAGAAGGAAGGAGCTTTGTGGTTTGTGTTTGTTTGAAGTCCCGAAGACGTAATTTACCGGGTGTGTTTATTTGCTGTGTAAAAGCTGATCAGTGTGAGGAACGGGGTACAGAGAGATAGAAAAACCAAAGGGTATAAGAATATTAATATCAGACGAAGCCGGAAACATTTGAAGTTATAAACAGGCGCGGAGATTGGTTCAAAAGGAGGCTGCATAGAATTACACGAGTTGTTGGGTTGCAGATACAAGGACAGATAGGAGAAAGGTGTACGTCTGCTGGACCAAAATAGGAGCAGAAGCAGAGAAAGGTTTTTTTTTTATGGCGTGGCCATAGAATTGCAACGGCAGATAACGAAAGGTCAGTCAATTTTCATTAGAGCAGGAGTGTGGTTTTCATTTATAAATTAAATAAATTGAATAAATAATAGAGACAGTTAATTTTGCGATCATTTAAAAAAAAATTATAAAGAGAGCTTAGTTATAACACATATTAAAAATCAATGTAAAATAACATTTGGGTCCATGATAGAAAACAACTTCTCATATATTTAAAGTATTGTATTGCAAATATTACCGGATTGATTGTTATATAAAATTTCAATAAAATAAAGGACATCTCACATATACTTCAGTTTGAAATTCTGTGTATTTTACTCAGGTCATATTACCTATCCCAATTAGGAAGCCAATTGGAAAATATTTTGAATCCACGATCAAAGGTAAATAGTACAAGTTAAATAGCCTGAGATTGTAATTAATTAATGCTGATTTATTGTGATTAATTGGAGATTAGATCATTTAATAAATATAGACAGGATCTTTTCTAAATAAGCAATAGAATACAATTTAAATAGCATAACAAAATGGCCCCCAACGTGTAAAGCTTTGAAAAATATTTCTAGTTGGCAAATTTGAAAGGATAGGAGTAGACGAGCAGATATTTGAAAGTTTATATGCCGTGGATAAAGTGAAATATTATGTAAAATTTGAGGACACTGAAGATTTATATTTTTTTTTAAGATACAATTTACCATAATTAATTTATTCTTGATATTGACAATTTAGAGGTTACCATAATTGATTTATTTGATTGATTTTGACATTTGATATTTTACCATTTGATTTATTTGTGGGATATTGAAATTTGATACTCGTACTCAAGAGTTATTACATTTGAACAAGAAAAGTCCCGTTTGTTGCAACAGACCAGTAGAATTTTATATTTGGCGGGGACAAAAACAACATGTCGACCACAAGGAGTCAAAGCAAAATGCAAGAAAGGAAGGAGGATAACAGAGAAGAGGAAACAATGTTTGAAGAAGGATCGGATAATGAAGGAAATGTTACAATAATAGAGGAAAGAAAAGAAACAGGGATGTTAGAAAAATTATTAGCAATGATGCAATTACAGACACAACAAATACAAGAAAACCAACGGAAAACAAGACAAGCAATAGAACAGAAATTAGAAGAAAATGATAGAAAAATGGAAAAGCGTTTGGACAAATATGAAAATGAAGTAAAAGTCTGTTTAGAAAAAGTTAGTGAAACAGAGAGGAAACTAGAGATGCAGAGAGAAGAAATGGAAACTAAAATGAAGGATATTCAGAGTATGCAAGAAAGGGAATTAGAACAGATAGAAATAAAATTTGAAAATGCGCTACAAGAAGACCGGAAAGAAACGGAAAGGAGATTTAAACAAATTGCAGAGATGGAGATAAGAGGAATAGAAAGAAAGGAAGTTATCGTACATAGCACAGAAGACGTAAAAGTACGATTTGGCGGGGATATAAGGAAACTACACCCAGTGCCTTTTATAAATATCCTAAAGGAAAAAGTCAAATACATAGGACCGTTTGCAACAGCAAGGAAACCATCAGAAACCATCTCAAAGAAGAGGCAAATCTTTGGTTTGTCAGCAAGGAAGAAGAATTTGACAATTGGCAAGATTTTGAGAGAAGATTCTTAAATTATTTCTGGGGAAAAATCCAGCAACTACAAGTAAATAAAGAGTTACAAAATGGAAAATACCATGAGAGGATGGGCGTATCAGAAAAGATGTACGCATTACAACTCTATAATAATGCAAAACATTTGCAATATAATTATTCATCAGAACAATTGGTAGAGTTGATATCGCGACACTTTGAAGATACCTTGGAAGACCACATAAATCTCCAAAATTACAAGGACATTGATAGCTTATGTCAATTTTTGCAAATGAGAGAATCACGTAGGCATGAAAGAAGAGAAAGAAGACCGCAAGAAAATTATAGACAAAGAGAAAACCAAGAATATAGAGATAGAGGTCAAAATTTTAGAAGAGATTATACAAGACGAGAATTCATACCTAGACAGGGATACGAAAATAGACCGAACGGAAGAGAGAATTATGAACCCAGAACCCAGAGATGGAATGAAAACAGGGATCGGGAAAATCAGAGTAGAAATAACCGCCCATACCAAGGAAACCGATACAATAACCCACGGAATGAACAGGAATCTCGCGGTAACCGATACGGGAATGATAGACCAAAAGAGAACAGAAGAGAAATAAATAATACGCAAAGAGAAGAAAATGAATATGAGAGAGAAGATGACGGGCGAGAAAACACAGAAGAACAACAGGCGTGTTTTCAAGAAGGCGCTCACTAAAAACGAAGAAACAAACAGGAATTTTTTGTCACCCCAAGGAATTTATTAAACTGGCAGGAAACAATGAAAAGAGAAATGGAGTTAATTTAAAATTTGTGGATGGATTTATAAATGAGAAACCAATTAAAATTATGATAGACACAGGCTCTGAAATAACACTGGTCAACAGAAAATTAATCGAAGAAGTAAATTTAACAAGTCTAATTTATAAAATACCTAGGGTGAATTTAGTGGGCGCAAATAAACGGACATTGGCAACAATAAATGAAGGTATACGAGTAATGGTACGATTGAAAAAAAATATGTATGCACTTCAATGTGTAATAATGCCGAATATGTCACATGACATGATTGTAGGCGTTGACGAATTAACGGAAAAACATGTAGTGATCGACTTCAAAACCAATACGATGAAAATAACAAAGGAAAAAGAAGAAGAACAGGATAAGGAACAAGAGAAACAAATTACGGACGAATCAGAGAAAGAACAAACGGTGGAAATGAACCTGGTGACGAACAAAGGAAAAGGAAGAAAGAGGGGAAAAGGTCAGAAAAAGATCAAAGAAAAAAAAACCTGGGATTCCTCAAAAGATGAGACGAGCTCAGGAGAAGAAGATGGGAAGATTTTGACAAGAAATGAAAGCAAAACTTGGGATTCCTCAAAAGAAGAGACGAGCCCAACAGAAGAAGAAACAAAGGAAATGAAAGAAAAGGAAAAGGATTCAGTTGAAAAGAACATATGGGATTCC